TAACCGGTTTCTAACTTTGTAACTTGTGACCCTAATACTTTAAACAATACACCTTTACGGAATGTGTTAGCCAATGAACTAGTGATAAAAGATTTATATACAGAACAATAAACAAAAAAGAAGGGATTGTGCTTAAATTTCACATGATGAAGACATAATCTTTCAATCACTTTAATTGAGGTCTCGAGCTGGCATGTCAGTAACTGCTAGTAGTCCTTTGTTAATTTATGTATCATTGTCATTTTGCTTAGTTTCTTCTGTTACCTATTCAGACATCGGACTCGGACTTCTTTTCAACTGATTTTTACTGTGCGTTTGTTTATTCTACATTGGCTAGAGGTATAGGGGGAGGGTTGAGATCTCACTGAACATGTTTAACCCCGTCGGATTTTTGCGCCTGTCCCAAGTTACGAGCCTCTGGCCTTTGTTAGTCTTGTATGTTTTTTTAATTTGGTTCATTTATATGTTTCGGAGTTTAGTGTGACGTCCATTTTCGCTGAACTAGTACACATTTTTGTTTAGGGGTCAGCCGAAGCCCACCTTCGGGTGCGGGATTTTCACGCTGTGTTGAAGGCCCGTTGGTGGCCTTGGGCTGTTTTGTGCTCTTTGGTCGGGTTGTTGTCTCTTTTACACATTCCCCGTTTCCATTCTCAATTTTATAAAAATCATTTGAAAAATGCTTGATTCATCAGATCGACACAAAGCACAAAATGTCACAAATTCTGATATGCCATGGTGTTCTTGAATTAAAAGGCTTCAATTGTTATTCTCTATATTTTCACTTGTATTCAAGATATTGTATTTCCCATTTATATTAGGTTTTGAATTTGTAGGCCTCGAAGATCACTGAAGAGACATTAACTGTAGAAATGCACATCTGGTGCAGTGAAATTAGTACCATTATTGTTAAGATTAACAATTAAGATTAACAATTAAGATCTGTTGAGAACTAATCAAACATTTTTTTTTTTAATTTATCAGTAAGTGTAAAATGTCTGCAATGTTGGTGAAATTTAACAAAATACTTTCAGTCCGCCTTGGGCACAACTGGAACAATAAAGATGCTAATAAATAATGTATCGTGAATTTCATCATAAATATCTGTTTATTCTAAATTGCATGCGTACGAGATTATATAAAGTGTAATTTTCATCTACATCAAAATTATTGTCTGCAAGTTCTTGTCTATCCATTTCATCATTACTTCGTATGATCATTATAGCTAATTGTACCTCCCGTTTAAAGCACAGTTTCAATTGGAATTAAGCGTTTTAATAGATGTTAAAGAGAGACGAAAGATACCAAAGGGATATTGAAACTAATAAATCGAAAACAAACTGACAATGCCATGGTAAAACAACAAAATCTACCAAAAGACAACCATTAGAATAATTTTAGAAATTATATTGTGGTTTCCTCTCTTGAATCATTTTACATCTTGTCATCCCGAGCCTTTTTGGCTTACTAAAAGGTATAGGTTTTGCTAGTTGTTGAAGACTTTAAGGTTACCTATATTTGTCATCTGGTCCTTGGTCGATATATGTCTAATTCTTATTTCTTATATTGTACTCTTAATGTTCATCAAGAGAAGGCGACCTTGTAAACATTTTGTTTTACTTTACCATTATCAAACTTTTGTTACTTAACTTTGAACGTAGTCTATATTTTCTATGTTGCATCATTATAGTACTGGAAACATTTATTGTATATGTATATGCAAAAAAGGGAGATATAAAGGTAAACAATGTAGAGATCAACCAAGCAACATACAAACCAAAAGATATCTAGCGGCCAAAACACGTCTCAAACAAGAAAAAATTGTGTAACACTATATTAAGCCCTAGATGAAATCGAGTCTAACAACGTTATGAAAACATTTACCAGAAACTACTTAAAGATCTTAAGGGCATACGATACAGTTTTTATCCCATAATGAAAATTTAATGAAAATTTGCAAATAGGCTATTTTTTACCTGATTAAATCAAATATGTAATAAAAAAATATACCTTCATGTGCTACTTTTTGAGTAAAATGAGTTCGAAATTTCAGATATTTGCTCAAAATTCGGATTTGTGGACGTATTTTTCCTTCCGACAGAAATGCATAACTTTTTTGTTTTAAAAGATAAACATAAGCTGTTTTCTGTTTCTACATTTATAATTTCTGTTTTTTATAAGTATCCTATAAATTTATGAAATCTTTTGTTTAGAAATAACTCAAATTCATCAAATGTTCATGAATGTAGAAAAAACGTCATTTTTTGCTGTATATTTATCAAATTTAAAAAAATTGCATTATTGACTTTTTCATGAAACTTGGTACAAATAATCTTAATACATAATCAAACCGAATGTCATTTTAAAAAAGAGGGGTCCATGAACTCGTTTACAAGTTAAATCAGTTTAAATGATAAAAATCAGTCGAAAAATACATCTTTTCCCGATATGTCACAGTTTGACGTCGCCAAAATAACATTTTACGTTAGCAACGTCATTACCTCCCCTGTAACTGTATCGTATGCCCTTAAATCAACAACAACTTTCTTAAATGACAAAGAAAATTTCTGATATGGGGTTTGCAGAAAAAAACAACATTTTTTTTCAATCTCAATTGCTCCACGCTTAATGTCAACCATTGGAAAAATTTATTTAGGAAAACGCAAATTTGAAAAAAATCAGTGCAGGGCAAACACTTATTATTTCGTATTTTGCCGTGGCATTCTCAGTTTGTTTTCGACTTATGAATTTGACTTTCCCTTTGGTATCTTCGCCTTTCTTTCACGACATACTTTCTCTATCGGATAAGCATAGGTTATACAGGGCTAACAATCAAGTTATATATACTTCGTCTGAAATTTATCCGAACAGTGTTAGGCACCAATTGCGCCCCTTTAATAGCAGATTGTTTTTGTATTGTTATGAATCATAGTTTATGGCCAAACTCAGTAAAGATACGTCTAAAAAAAACACTTTAAAACCGTTTGCTTTAAATAATCAAGAATTTTCTAATTTTACTTCGGAGATTTACCCAAAGGAACTTACATTGAATAAAACTACTACAGACAGCAAGCAATAATTGTCCTTTTTTAGATTTGGATATTTCACAAAACATACTCAATACAAATATTTACGACAAAAGAGAGGAATTTTCGTTCCCGATTGTTATTTTTCCCTTTTCGGACAGTGATGTTCCTAAGGCCCCTTCTTACAGAATGTATATTTTACAACTTGTTCGCTATGCCGTGTATGTAGTCACGTTTTAGATTTCAATAAACGTTTTTATGTATAACTGGTAAATTTTTTAATCGGGGATTTCGTTACCACAAATCAGTTAAAAACTTTTATTACCAATTCTTTCATCGATACAAAGATTTGGTTCGGACGTTTGGCTGTACCTGTAGAGTTCTTATCAAAAATGGGATATCACATCCTAGTTTTTACGGTGATTTTGTTTATAAAGCCTGTAAATTTAGATACGATCCGTGTAAACTAATTGATCCTTTGAAGAAATTTATATTTAAAAGTTATGAAGTTAACATAATCTTTAAATATCAATTTTATCGATAGTTCCATTGATTTTGTTTAACAAAAACATATAATGACGTCTTTGTGACGTCTTAACATAAAAGCATCTTATGTTATTCATTTATATTTTATGCATTTTCAAACATTATGTAACTTCATAATTATGTGCAAATTTAAAAAAAGTTCTCAAAAACTTTATTTTCTTGGGCCAAAACCTGGCCTTAACGTAATTTTTTGTTTTTCCCTCAGCGGGATTCCAAACCCTGCTTCTGTGACATCGTGCATGGCAACATTGCCTGCACTTTGTTCAACGCCCAAGCTCACTCGAACAAGCTTTCCTTAGTCGAGTAATGTCTTTTCTCTTCGGTTTTATCTACGGTAATAACACAGTATACTAGTATTATGTATTGTAGCAACTGTAGATGGTATGTAATATGTTAACGGTAGAATAACCGGTTTCTAACTTTGTAACTTGTGACCCTAATACTTTAAACAATACACCTTTACGGAATGTGTTAGCCAATGAACTAGTGATAAAAGATTTATATACAGAACAATAAACAAAAAAGAAGGGATTGTGCTTAAATTTCACATGATGAAGACATAATCTTTCAATCACTTTAATTGAGGTCTCGAGCTGGCATGTCAGTAACTGCTAGTAGTCCTTTGTTAATTTATGTATCATTGTCATTTTGCTTAGTTTCTTCTGTTACCTATTCAGACATCGGACTCGGACTTCTTTTCAACTGATTTTTACTGTGCGTTTGTTTATTCTACATTGGCTAGAGGTATAGGGGGAGGGTTGAGATCTCACTGAACATGTTTAACCCCGTCGGATTTTTGCGCCTGTCCCAAGTTACGAGCCTCTGGCCTTTGTTAGTCTTGTATGTTTTTTTAATTTGGTTCATTTATATGTTTCGGAGTTTAGTGTGACGTCCATTTTCGCTGAACTAGTACACATTTTTGTTTAGGGGTCAGCCGAAACCCGCCTTCGGGTGCGGGATTTTCACGCTGTGTTGAAGGCCCGTTGGTGGCCTTGGGCTGTTTTGTGCTCTTTGGTCGGGTTGTTGTCTCTTTTACACATTCCCCGTTTCCATTCTCAATTTTATAAAAATCATTTGAAAAATGCTTGATTCATCAGATCGACACAAAGCACAAAATGTCACAAATTCTGATATGCCATGGTGTTCTTGAATTAAAAGGCTTCAATTGTTATTCTCTATATCTTCACTTGTATTCAAGATATTGTATTCCCCATTTATATTAAGTTTTGAATTTGTAGGCCTCGAAGATCACTGAAGAGACATTAACTGTAGAAATGCACATCTGGTGCAGTGAAATTAGTACCATTATTGTTAAGATTAACAATTAAGATTAACAATTAAGATCTGTTGAGAACTAATCAAACACTTTTTTTTTAATTTATCAGTAAGTGTAAAATGTCTGCAATGTTGGTGAAATTTAACAAAATACTTTCAGTCCGCCTTGGGCACAACTGGAACAATAAAGATGCTAATAAATAATATATCGTGAATTTCATCATAAATATCTGTTTATTCTAAATTGCATGCGTACGAGATTATATAAAGTGTAATTTTCATTTACATCAAAATTATTGTCTGCAAGTTCTTGTCTATCCATTTCATCATTACTTCGTATGATCATTATAGCTAATTGTACCTCCCGTTTAAAGCACAGTTTCAATTGGAATTAAGCGTTTTAATAGATGTTAAAGAGAGACGAAAGATACCAAAGGGATATTGAAACTAATAAATCGAAAACAAACTGACAATGCCGTGGTAAAACAACAAAATCTACCAAAAGACAACCATTGGAATAATTTTAGAAATTATATTGTGGTTTCCTCTCTTGAATCATTTTACATCTTGTCATGCCGAGCCTTTTTGGCTTACTAAAAGGTATAGGTTTTGCTAGTTGTTGAAGACTTTAAGGTTACCTATATTTGTCATCTGGTCCTTGGTCGATATATGTCTAATTCTTATTTCTTATATTGTACTCTTAATGTTCATCAAGAGAAGGCGACCTTGTAAACATTTTGTTTTACTTTACCATTATCAAACTTTTGTTACTTAACTTTGAACGTAGTCTATATTTCCTATGTTGCAGCATTATAGTACTGGAAACATTTATTGTATATGTATATGCAAAAAAGGGAGATATAAAGGTAAACAATGTAGAGATCAACCAAGCAACATACAAACCAAAAGATATCTAACGGCCAAAACACGTCTCAAACAAGAAAAAATTGTGTAACACTATATTAAGCCCTAGATGAAATCGAGTCTAACAACGTTATGAAAACATTTACCAGAAACTACTTAAAGATCTTAAGGGCATACGATACAGTTTTTATCCCATAATGAAAATTTAATGAAAATTTGCAAATAGGCTATTTTTTACCTGATTAAATCAAATATGTAATAAAAAAATATACCTTCATGTGCTACTTTTTGAGTAAAATGAGTTCGAAATTTCAGATATTTGCTCAAAATTCGGATTTGTGGACGTATTTTTCCTTCCGACAGAAATGCATAACTTTTTTGTTTTAAAAGATAAACATAAGCTGTTTTTTGTTAAATTATTTGTAATTTCTGTTTTATATAAGTATCCTATAAATTTATGAAATCTTTTGTTTAGAAATAACTCAAATTCATCAAATGTTCATGAATGTAGAAAAAACGTCATTTTTTGCTGTATATTTATCAAATTTAAAAAAATTGCATTATTGACTTTTTCATGAAAATTGGTACAAATAATCTTAATACATAATCAAACCGAATGTCATTTTAAAAAAGAGGGGTCCATGAACTCGTTTACAAGTTAAATCAGTTTAAATGATAAAAATCAGTCGAAAAATACATCTTTTCCCGATATGTCACAGTTTGACGTCGCCAAAATAACATTTTACGTTAGCAACGTCATTACCTCCCCTGTAACTGTATCGTATGCCCTTAAATCAACAACAACTTTCTTAAATGACAAAGAAAATTTCTGATATGGGGTTTGCAGAAAAAAACAACATTTTTTTTCAATCTCAATTGCTCCACGCTTAATGTCAACCATTGGAAAAATTTATATAGGAAAACGCAAATTTGAAAAAAATCAGTGCAAGGCAAACACCTAACTTTTAAACATGCTAAAATACTGTTAAAATAGACAACAAAACCATTTGAACAAGCATATCAATAATACGCATTATCATATTAAGTTACGCAGGGAGTTAGTGACAGCAAGGTCAAAATAGTTAATTTACTGATATGTAAACATCTACATATCTACATATCCAGGGCTGTACTTGAAAGAAAAATAATACAACATGAACGAAGCAAGCCAAGAAATGTGCAATCCAAAAAGGAATTAAATTTTCATATCATCTGATTTGATTAAAAAAATACTGTCAATAATCAAAATGCGTCTTACGCAGGACAGTTGTACTCCTATTTTTACAAAGGAGTAATTCTCTAGGTATATGCTTTCCAATTATACTCAATGCTTTAGATAAGATAAAAATCATTGTCTACAAGAAATACAAGACGTTAAAGATAAATTAATATATATATATATTAAGTCTTTGTGTTTGCCTAAGATTTTTCTAAATTTGAAATAAAATATTAGCGGGATTTTTTTTCTCTGTCCTCAAAATACGTAACATAAGTATTGAGTAAATGTTCCTTCATTTGAAAATTGTATTTAATACTGTGAGGTATTTATTTTCGAAGAAAACAATTTTCTTTGGTTGAGTAAATGTTGTTTTTTTTCAGTAGCTTGCATTCGCTGTTTTTTTTCTGCATAAAACCACAAGAAATACAAGACGCTACTAATAAATCAATACATATTAATTATTTGTGTGTTTGCCCTAGAAATTTATTTATTTTGAAGAAATAAATATTAACGTCTTTATACTCTGAATACTAAAATTAAATGTAAAGTAAGTGTTCCTTTTCTTAAAAAGTTTATTTATTGTGTATGGGTCGGGAATTTTGGGTTGAGGAATTGTTCATTTTTCGTGGTATCTTGCATTCGCATTGACAAATTCTGCACACGACCAATAGGACTTTTGAACTTCTTGAACACTAATACATGTGTTTACCTTTCGACAATGAACTCGATTTCAATTAGTACCACACGAATAATTATGAATCATTAGTATTGCCACTTACAGTTAACCGAAGAACTTACCGTATGTTTTCTTCCTTTCTGCAAAAAGAGTAAAAGGAGTATTGACAATATTGCAACTGACAGAATAAATATTTTAAAAATAATATTATGATTGAGTACAAAATTCTTTGTCCTAATTTCTTTTTATAAAATGTAAAACAATATTTGCTGTCATATATAAGTATTACAATTATATTCCGAGAGGCGGCCACCTTTTTTCGGCAAATCTTCCCATTGAATCCCATCGTATACGTTTATTCCGTGAACTGAGGGAGGGGGCACGAAGGTGTTTCCTCTCTGTTTTTTTTTTTAAAGATCATAGATTGCTTTAATTTTCAGTTTGTCAACAGGAAAATGATATTGAACTAACTGTTATAAAGTTGGAATAAACATTCAAATACACAGAACAATACACGAATAAGACAAGTTAAAAGAAACGAGACCTTTGTTCTAAAAAACTTACCAGATTTATACAAGAAAAGAACAATAGAAAAGTACACTGTTGAAAGTATGAACTGTTATCAAAACAAAGAATGAAATAATGTAAATTCAGAAATCAGAAATATTCTAGAGATACACGGCAAATTTAGAACATCGTTGGCAAAAAGTCGTACATCATTTTGAACACGTAAACAAAAACAATTTGACGAAGCGTCTGAAATCCATATGGAGCAAGGCTTGATTCATAGACAGGGTTAACTAGATCGTATTCAAAAACTGCAGAAACTGTCATAAGGAATAAGCGTATTGGACTTATTATTTTATTGGTCCCAAATTGTCATTGGAGGTTCGTGCACGGTTCATGAATAAATTCAATGCTATCAGTGCAGTAAATGTATTTCAAATCATGTAAGCTGTACAGTTGGCAAGCTTTGAGATTTAGTCAAATTCTTACCGCCTATTGCAGAAGCAATATACTTTGATAATAAAATTATTGAAAATGACCGACATGTTATAAATGTATCCTTAATGAAAGGCATTTCAATGTACATATATTAATTGATCATCTGGCGCATGTATACATCACTGCAGGGTCTTTATCAAAAACAAACTCGTGAAGTAAACTAACATTGCTCTTTCGAACTGCTAATAATTTTCTCATTTCTAATTGATTGCTATATTTTGTTAATGATTTGAATGACTGAACAGAAATAACATACAAGGTCCTCCTACCAATGCCACTCCTTCCATTTCCGACATTTCTGACTACACCACACACTGTTCTTTGTGAATGATATAAAACTGATTTATAAGAGCTGTAGTAACAAGAAAAAGCATGACAAAGTACGTTCATTGCTTTTATTCTATGAACTGTGAAGCAAAAAACAACAACAACAAACAAACAACCCAAAAATAATTTTAACATTACCATACGCTCAATATAGAACCATTACACATGTAGACATTATTTGTTTAAAAGTAATTTGAATAATAGATAGCAGAATGCAAGATAAACAAATACATTAATAATCAAATAGTTCAATGCTTACCATAGCTTTTCGTCTCCATAGCTGCAAAAGAAAGATGAAGTTTTGAAATAAAGAAGCAGATGAGGATCACATTTTTCGCGTAGATTTTATTGTCCAATACAGTACGTCATTAAGCGTCATTTTTTTACGCTAAACAAGGTATCAGAAATATTCTATAGATACAAGACAAATTTAGTGTATCGCTGGGTTAAAATCGTACATCTTTTTTGAACACTTAAACCAAAAGAACCTTTGGAAATAGTTTGAACTCTAAACGAACTGCCCCCAAGGGTGACTGGGGAATTGAAGTATGGTCACTCTTGGTCTTCCTCCGACTGGCAGTACAACCCTTGCTAAAGTGGGGCGTCCTTTTGGTTGTGCGGGGTGTACAAGTACGCAGCCACGTCCTGTCAGAATGGGGACATTAAATCCGATGCCTCGTGTAAAGAGAGTGCCATGATCTTTGCAAGTTAAGAATCTTTGCAACAATTCTTTGAGGGGTCCATAGGTGGCCTGTTGTGAGGCAAAATTGCTGTTCTAAATCAATGTACCCTCATTTTCCACTGGCAGTCAAAATTTTCACGACCTTCTACCAGAAAAGCCTCTATTACAAGACCTACATAATGTATTTATTGTTAATTTGTTTTTGTCATAAACATGCATGAAACATTTGACACTGGACGTTAAGCAATCAATCAACCAAACCAAATGGAGCGAGGATTGATTCGTAAACAGGGATCGACAGAGCATTTTAAAAATAATAGATATTGTCATAATAAATACTAGTATATAATGATGTAGGGGTATTTCTCCTTATATTGTATTCGTCGCAAATTGTCATTGGAGGCCCGTGCACTTTTTATGAATACATTCAATGCTAGAAGCGCAAAAAATAGCAAGTTTAGATAGTTGAAGTCAAATTCTAACTGTCCTATTGAAGACAAAAAGTTTTTTCTTTTATATATTTTGATTCTGTCATTCATAAAAATACAAATATAACTTAATCTCATGGAGCATTTATATGTCACTGCTGGAACTGGAGGAAGTGTGATTTGGAGATTTGGTTATCACATTCACATTTTATCAGTTAAATGTTAAATTGGTTGGTGTCTTCATTTTAGAATAGCTTTTATTTTTTTTAATTGAAAAAGCAAACTCTCAAAGTAAAATGATATTTTTCTTTTGAACTACTCGTAGTACTCTCTAAAAAAAATAAATAATTGCTATCTTCTTTTTACGATTCCAAAAACTTAAAAGAAATAACCTACAAGTTCATCTTAATGCAACACATATTCATACACCATTCACCGCTCTTTATAAAAGCAGATAAAATGCAAATTTTACATTTTGGGGGTTTCAATGTTCTTCTTTTAAATGTGTTGATGTGAGCACCATACATTCAAATGTGTTATATGCAAACGCACATAGGTTCGAAATCAAAGAAATGTTGGATTTTGCGCTCTTCAACTTCAAAACTGGCGAAGCCTTCATTGTTTTGATTGGAGCTCCATCGGGGAGTCTCGTGTAGACGAAACATGTACATTTGATATCTTTGAGAAGTTGTCATTCTATTTTATGACTTTCGATTCCTCCTTGGTATCTTATTCCCCCTTTTATGAACATGTTTGTGATCATTTCAAACATCAATATTAGTCAAAATAGTGAGTACAAATATGTCTAAAAATGAAATCGTGAAATACCTGCATTTCCAGTCAAATTTGACAACTCCTGTAGGTTCTACTATAAAACTCAAAGAAAGGATCCCCAGTTTTGTTAGTTTAATACTATTTCGTGCATAGCAAGATACCTTCTCGACGCACTCACCCGCCATGCTGCATTTGGAGTTCATGCAATACATTCAAGGTTTTTTTTACTTCGTGTGTATATTCAAAACGAGTTTACAATGTAATAACATTGTTAAAATAAGGCTGCGTTAGTCATTGATGTTAAAATTTCATACACCGATTAATAAAAAATAAAACCGAGGTAATATACACAAACTGAAGGAATCGAAAGAAGGAGTGAGACAGGGGCGTTGTCAGGGTTAGCGTCTCTTGCTATTCACGAATCACCCGCCATTCAGATCCACACTCATTTAAAATGCCAAAAACGAGAATAAAACACATTCTGTATATCAGAGGAGAAAGTTACAAGAGGAACATTCAAACTAAAAGTCGAAAACAAACAAATAATTGAGAAATAAATAAAAGAGTACATAATACGCTATCTATAGAATAAGAAACAAACTCCGTGTTGAAGGTCGTACCTTGACCTATAATGGTTTACTTTTATAAATTGTAACTTGGATGGAGAGTTGTCTCATTGGCACTCATACCACATCTTCCTATATCTATTCAAGTACTTGCAAAGTGGTTTGTGTTTGTACCGGAGGACAACGCAGCCAACAATGTGTTGGTGGTATGTCGTAAATATTACACGGACGTTGTTAAGAATGAAATTTTAAATTCTTGAATATTCAAGTCCGTGCGCTCAACAGAGAGTCATATGGTAAATAATCATATCTCAACCACATCACAGCTTAGGGCCTCTTCTGGACATTTGAAGGTCCCTACTATGTATTGGTTACCTAAACTACAAAAAAAAACCCATTAAAATATCGTTTCATCTCGGCCTCTAGTAAGTTTTCTACAACGAATCTTTCAGTGCTTTTAACTAGTTCCTTAACTAATATTAAAGAACCTATCATTAACTTTTATAATAAAACATATGAAAATAGTGGAATTAATTATTTTTGGAATGTTAAAGTTCTTTGGATGCTTTAGATAATCTACGATCTTTTGATGGTCCTTTTGATTCTGTTGACAGTTTGACACTCCTTACACTACACTTCCCCACAATCTTATCAAACAAAAGTTTTCCTATTTAATTAAATGGTCGTTTGGTAAATCTGAAAGGAAATATAGTTGCTGCAGCTCATTTGAAGCCTTCTTCTCTAATGAGAAAGCTTAATATGCTAAATATGCTTACTGGAGGTGTGATGAGATGATTGAAGCTGTTAATTTTTTCTTTGACAATTTTTATGTACGTTTTGGCAATAAAGTTTATCGACAGTTTGTAGGTATTCCTGTGGGCACCAACTGCGCCCCTTTAATATCAGACTTGTTCTTGTACTGTTATGAATCACAGTTTATGACCAAATTCAGTAAACACCAGTCTAAATTGCATTTAATTGATAAATTCAACAACACCTACCGTTATCTTGATGATATTTTTTCATTAACCCAAAAAGAATTTACTTTGAATAAATCAAATATAAATGGTAATAACTGATCTTTTCTAGATGTAGATATTTCAGTTTACAATGGAAATTCTACACTAAGATTTACGACAAAAGGAAGGATCTTTCGTTCCCTATTGTTATTTTTTCTTGTTTGGACGTTGATGTTCCTCTGGCATCATCTTACGGTGTATATATATCACAACTCGTTCGCTATGCCCGTGTCTATTGTGACGTTTTGGATTTCAATAATCTACGTATTACTGGTAAATTATTAAGTCAGGGATTTCGTTACCACAAATTACTTAAAACCTTTTGCTAAATTCGTCCATAGATGTAAAGATTTGGTTTGCAATTCAACACTATAATTATATCTTTGAATATTGTTTTTATTGGTATTAATTTTGATTTTGTTATCAGTAAATTAAAATCAAACTAAATGTTATTTTATATACATATGCACATTTATGGCTGTACAATCTGTCAATACTTGTATTTTGGCATTGTACAAGGTCATGTTTTTCAATGACTGATAATGACGTCTTTAAACTAAATTCATTGGATGTTGGATGTGTACTGATTGATGTTTTAGTCTTATATGCATGTTTTTTTTTACTAGTTGTTATTGGCTTTGATCTAGCTTTCAGTAACTGCGAGTACTCTCAGATCTGTACTTAGTGTCTTTTTATAATATGGATGTATAAAGTACCCTGCCAGGTGATTTCTGTGTTTTTTTTTTATATTTTATATGTATTTCTGCTTTGTATCCATCTGATGAGTTAAGCCCTTTTCAACTGATTTTTATAGTTTGTTCTTATGTTGTACTGTTACACCACTGTTACGGGGAGGGTTGGCGCCTTCAAACTAGTTTAACCCCGCCACATGCTGTATGTGCTTGTCCCAAGTCAGGAGCCTGTAATTCAGTGGTTGTCGTTTGTTGCTGTATATCATGTTTTTTTTTCGCTCATTATTTTGTACACAAATCAGGCCGTTAGTTTTCTCGTTTGAATTGTCTTACATTTGTGATTTCGGGGACTTTTATAGCGGACTATGCGGTATGGGCTTTACACATAGTTGAAGGCCGTAAGGTGACCTATAGTTGTTAATTTCTGTGTCATTTGGTCTCCTGTGAAGAGTTGTCTCATTGGCAATCATACCACATCTTCTTATTTTTATATTGACAACGCAATGGCAAAAAAAAAGAAAATCCACCAAAAGACAAACAACAGTATACTAAAAAAACATAGAAAACTGAAGACTGAGCAACACGAACACTACCAAAACTGGGCGTAATCCCAGTTGCGCAGGTAGATTAAGCAGATACTGCTCCACTCGTGACACTCGTCGTGTTGCTCACGTTAGTACGAACCCGGTGACAAGTCTAATTTGGTAGGTCACAATGGGGAAAATAGAGGACGGGATTGTAGTAAGACAATTGGAACATATTCTATCGTAAATTATAGATTAGACGACTACTCTGGTATCTAGAAATATCTAAGACTGATAAAACGTGTGACTAGGGTGTTGAGACACAAACATAACGTATCGGTCAACTTATTCGTGATGATGACCGTAAAACTTCAGTTTCGATTTCAGTTCTTTTTTCTAACTCTGTTGGGGCAGTTTTTATGCCATGAGAACATCCCTGCTAATTAAGTCCGTATAGTTTGAACATCGTTTTTGCATACAAAACAATATAAGGTTTGATCTACTGGAACAAAAATATATTTGTTGTGGAGATAGGATAAAACACCCACCACCTTGGGTTTCTTGAAAGATAACAGGTTTATAATTTTGTCTAAAACGTAGTAATTGTCACACAATTAAACTGAAAAAAATTATTGTCATGATCATATATTGCCTAATGCAATCTACTTATTGTCTTCTTTCTTTTTATTTATATTGTACAATATGCTTACTTTCGATATCCATTGTGGTCATATCAGTTTGACTGAGTTTGTTCTCCATTTGAACGCTTGTCTTTGGAACTTTAAAGATCAATTTCACTGAAATTGTTTTAAAGTACATATATTTTGGGACAACAATTAGTATCGTAACGTCATCCTATTTACATATCAAAACTAATGAATTTTTGTTCGATAACTATCAACATGTTCCATGAACTTTCAGGTTTTCAAAATAACTTTTATCAGAGGCTTGGTTTGGGGGAACGTTTGTATACGGATTTCTGTTAATTGCATAGCACATTTAAAAAGTTATTCGAAATCTCATTTGCCAGATCCTATATCAGGATGAAAGACCCAAAGAAACTAGAGCTTACCTTACCAATTACAATATTAAAGTTAACTCGAGGAGCATAAAATTGGAACAGTCTTTGGTAAAAACGTAGACATGACATATGCATTTCAATATACAATGTGATGCTTAACGTCACAATCAAAGTGAAAATTGGTTATGATCTGAACATATATGCAAAGAGCATAGCATTCGAACAGTATCCTAAAAAAACGAAAATTTTATTTTGGCCGACACTTCATAAAAGGTAGTAATGATGACAAGTGGTAAATGTCTTACTGTATATTTGCCGTTTTAATATCATTCAAGGGACGCGATTTTGAAACAGTCATTGCGAAAACAATTCAAAATATAACCAAACATTTATGTCATGTTAGACTGTACTACTGTAAAGTTATCAACCCCCTACTATTCGGGCAATTATTTCCAGACCATAGACTTAATCCCCACTCTCCCACGCCCTACAAAACACGTATTTCATTTAACAGAGAATAGATATATTGTAACTGTTTACAAATTTGAGAAGAGTCTTTATGTTTTGATTTCATATTGATACATCTCAGATTTCAACAGACTATGCAGGGTATGATCTTCCTTCTTAATTTTGTATGCCGTGTCATAAAGCCATGTATGATAGGGTTCACTGTATTGTCAATTATATAATATACAATAAAAAAATGTACATTTGATTTCACTGATATCAAATTATACATACAAAAGAAATATAATGAAATTGCAGTAAAATGTATTAAATGAATTAACCAACCATCTAAAATATCAGTAGTCCAGCCATCCATATAATGTCATTCCAACTGGATGCAACTCTTTCGAGATATGCATGATTCCACACATTATATTGATTTATTGTTATTTAAGGGTTATTTTATGGTGATTGTTAATTTCGTTTGAAAACTTTTGATTTTATTCATGTCATGAATCGTGTTTTACATTAGAGTTATGTGGTTCTATAAAATTTCAACCAATATTCTTATTTGTTTGTAACAGAGGTGCATTGCTAACTTTGGAAACTTTACTTTAAAGTTAGTATTATATTGTGTCGTTGGTATGCATCATTGTCTATAGATTATAGATATAATTATTTTACGCTTACCTTCATTAGGATCCAAAATATGTAGCCTAATGTCAACTTGTGCATGTACTTTTGTATCTATATGACACACTTCTACCAGTTTGTCAAGAAATGATTTGATTGCAGTTTCAAAAGCTTTTTGATCATTCAATATGCTCGCTGAAATTGTTGTCATGATAATTAAAGATCCTTTCTTTACAAATTTGGTTTTTACCACCTCGCCTTCGAATGTTGGATCTTTCAACTTTGCCTCTACTTCTTCTATATCCCATCCTTGTGGAGTAGCCATTTGCCACAATACAGGACATTCAATGGAACCTATGTAAAATTCATTATCTTCATAAAACTGCAACACTGGTTTATTACAATATGTTTCTTAGAAAATATTGATATATACACACTAAATAAAAACTAACAATAATATGATTAAATTTTGTACATAGAAATTGTCGGTTTGAGTTGTCGCCACAGGAATGTTCCATCTGTTGTATTTACAATACCGTCCTTCTGTTTTTACTCATTACTATATTCAAAAGCTTCTTTTCTCCGGATCTGTACTTTTCATAAGGTAAACGAAAGGAGAAAAGTAAGAATTCCTTACTCATTCATCATCCTGAATTCATCGCCAGTTTAAGTTGGAGTTTGTGTTTTTTTAACTTCATTATTTATAATAATTGTCTGTGGACTGTTATTTGTGTTATAATGTTATTCTTTATGCTATATTCTTGTTTGGCCTTCCAAGACTTGCGATAGTGAGCCCTATCTAGTGACTGCTTGCTTCAAATCACATAGGAAATTAACTAGTCATCAAAAGCCCATATCACTTCATATGTTTGCCTTACTACTATGTTGATGGGTTAGAATCGAATAGATAATTCCATTTCCGGTTTGCTTGTAACAAAGAAACATGTTGTTTATATTATACAAAAATACACAAGTACAATCTGATAAAGTCAATTATCAGATTTTCATCATATTGAGTATGAAACATACCATTTGTTTGACACAATACGAAATTCTTCTAACTTGTTAATTGAGCTCATAATACAAAAAGCTTCATAGTGAGAGTCGCTGCTTATCACTACAGTAACTTTTCTTAATCGAAATTTTGATCGAATAGTCCAGTATCTCACTTGTATGTAGTTGTGTTACCAAGTATCTGGCATCTGTAGTTGAGATTTCACAACTAAGTTTTACGTTTCTCGTTCGACATACTGTATATGTACTTTTTTTTCGCGGTGTTTATATTTTCACGAATTTCACGGTAGGTATATTTTCGCGAAAATAAGTACACGCGAATACAAATGCAGCTTACATACATATAAAATACATTGAATAAATATCACCGGAATTTACAACTGCACATGCATCTTAACCTTGTTTGCCTTACATAGCCTCAACTAAACTGTGTAACTGTTTCAACAACACCAGTGACCCATACAGAAAACCAATTAAGGATTACAGGATAAAAGGTCGTAATAAACCACAAGCCAAATATAACAGCTTTATTGGACAACTAACAACTTAATCAGATAATAACCTCTATCGAACAGACGTCTTATTCTAGTGATCTTTGTTTATTTTGTTTAGTATAATTGTTAACCAAATAAATACGTAAAAAATCATGTTAATGAGCACTTGAATATATTACCCGTTATATACGTTTTGATATTTTTGGAAATAACGCGAAATTAAATACGCGTGAATTTATTGGCAATACTAATTTTTCGAAAATTTTGCGAAAATAAGTAAAAAAAACTTCATTGACAATGGTATAATAAACATCCTATCCACCTTTTCATTTTTTAACTATCACCGGAGAAAGCTTAACTTAATTAGAGCAAATGAGCAACACTGCGGATGTCATTCAGGAAGAGAAGATTCTATTTTTTGTCCGATCAAATTTTCTTTTTAGTTTTCTGTGTTGTGTCTGTAGAATGTTTAACATTAGGTCAGGTTTTACATGTTCTAACATTTTTTTTCTAATTTGGGAAAATCGAAGGGTTAGACAAGAGACATTAATCTGCTATTTTAAGATGCCAAATGATTAGATATGATTTATCATTTTATTTCAGCAAGAGTAATAAAAAGGTTGACACTAGTTGAGCTAGAACTGCCTAACCTCCGTAGCATCCTAGTCTATCTTCCGGTTTCTAGTGGGGTTCGTGTCGCTCAACCTTTATATTTCTGTACAGTGTTTTGTTTACTGCTGTTTGTCTGTTTGCATTTCTGGATGGTATTGAATACTTGTTTTTAATAATGGCTTTTGACTACCACTTCGTATCTTCTCCCTCTTTTTGTGTCGGTCCTGGTGTTGTTTTTTCTGTCCTCGAGTAGAGGTTTTTTAATGCCGCCCCTTTGTACACTCAAGTGGGAAACATGTAAAGCAATTTGTACAACGGGTTGCCCATCTTTTCATCTTCTAAATACATGTTTATAAACCTAATTATGAGAAGATCTTCGAAACATATAGAACAATTTGACCTAAAAGGGGCATTAGCTACGAGATATAAAAAAATTCAAATACGATTTTCTTTAATGAGAGTGAAATAGTGAAATAGTAATTCGCTTTTAGCAGTCAGTTTGGTTCAATTTTGTCAAAATAAGCTAAGAAACATCGCTGATGAATTATTCACTTGCAAGTGAATAATTCGACCTCATTGAATTCGTATTCATGTGACCTTCAATTTAATCCCTTAGCTAGAGATAGGTTACGCAAAACTATGTGTGTTCAGCTATTAAAAGGAAAATAATGTTAACATTGATAGTGAAACAATGGTAAACCATTTGGTTGACTGATTCGATCCACAAAAGCTCATTGTTATGCAGGTAAAAACTATGATTTAACATATCGTTTCAACCTATAATATGAAACCAAACAGACCTAGAAAAATCCAATAGCACGTGTTCGTTATCTATTTATATCTGCATTATGTTTATATCGGATTATATGACCGTCGGCAGTCTTCGGAGGTCATCTCGATGGCTAATTAGATGGCATCTAGACTAAAATACACACCAAATGCTGATACATATTATCGAGTCAATGCATCGTAACTTGTTTATTATAGACTTTTTATAATTTGGGTATACGTTTCAGTGTGTTATAAATCAAATATGAGAATTTGAGTCAAATCGGTGAACATGAATTTGACAGCTAATGCCCCTTTAAGTGCCGTTATTTATTAAACATCACATGAAAGATACCAGGTTAATAATTTGGTACGCCTAACGCGCGTTTAATTTACATAAGACTCATCATAAACACTCGAATCAAAATTTTTTAACGGCCGAAAATTTCCAAAAATTTTGGCAAATGCGGAAAAGGCAATCTATTCCTGAAAGTAAGAAATAAAGAGTAAATGTACGAAGAATAATGAATATCAATCAAAATTCATGTCAACACAAAATTGCCGACTACTGAACTGGTTATACCCGGCTCGGGGATGGAACTTCCACAAGCAGTGGTATCGACGTAGTGGTTATAACAAATTGTAAAAGATACTAGAATTAGTATTTGAAACGCGAGACGAATGTTTCACAAGATCCATAAGTGGCACTCGAATCGCAACTAATTGAAGGTCAAACCAAATACGAAGTTGAATAGCCTTACAAACCGAATAATCAAAATATTGCAAAAACAATTTATTCCTGGGGGAAGAAAAACCTTAGTATTTCGAATAATTCAAAATTTAACAAGTAGCAAATATAAAAATAACAATGTATTAATTATGAATATCATAATACCTTTAAATTTTTCCTGTGGAACAAGCACATTCACCTGTCTGTCATATATAACTGACATTGAAAGGTTTCTTATCGCATGGAGGAAATTCACTGAATAAAGAAACAAAATAATTATTAAATATGATTGATATTAAGATAACTATGAGTGGTCTGAATTCTTTTGAAAAAAAAAACACACATGTGTGCCCATGAAACGAATTCCTGGAATAATCAACATCAAGTACACTCGTTTGATGTTACAAGGCTTTAAAATCTCTTGTTTGTCTACATTGAATATAAAAATATCAAAAAACCAATAAATACCTAAATTGCACATTGTCTGAACTTAACTATAAGATAAGATTCCAAAGATGTATGGTAAGGGTTTGATGCCAATGCAAAAATACAAAACACTTTAAAAAATGGGACTAAAATCAAAATCAAAACGTAACGTTTTATCTGAAAAAAGAGTCACCGGATCATAACAAATGAACAATCAAATTTCATAAGTCAAAAATCACAACCTGATGGCAAAAAAAGAAAAATGACAAAAAGAGAAAGAACAGTCAACAAAACACTACATAGAAAAATAAACAATGAGCAACAAGAGTCTGACTAAAAAACGGGCAATCTCAGATGCTGCGAAAGGATAAGCATATCCTATTCCACATTTTGATACCTTTCGTTTGGCTTTTGTATGTACAAACTCCATGATAAGTCTCATTTAGTGATGTCACAATCAAGAAAAAGAGGACAGAATTGTGGCAACGACAATTCGAACATATCCATGGCAATTTGTGACACTGATATTCCATAGCGGCCAACTCATAATAATGTCTGTAAAACAAACGAAGTGATAACTTGAACTTTATCACTTGGAACCCTGTGTTCAATAGCTTCCATGTAAGAATGACCCTATAGCATGGATTCGTGATAGGAAACCCAAGCTCTGGAATTTCGTATCAACTTAAATAAAACACGTCCTCCAAAACAAATACGTTGGCATGACTGCATCTGACCAAAAGTTGGGAAAACCAAATACATAGATCCTTTAAGAGCAACAAAATCAAGACAGCCAAAAATCCTTTATGACATTTTTTTCTAAATGGAATTTCAATCTTAGCTTGGAACAGTATTATAAATTCCCAATTGATAATTACCGAACACTACCGAACACTATCTACTACGTAAATTGTAAATTAAGGCGACAGCAGTATACCGATGTTCAAATCTCGATTAGAAAAAGCAGCCAGACAGGGTGCATCGACAGAGTTAGCGTCTCCTCCTATGCATGCATCAACCGAAAAATACATTTCCATTCAATTAAAACTTAATGTTTGCACTATAATATATTTCCAGAAATTAAAACTCAGTTCGTTTGGGATAAAAACCACATCACAGATACTAGAAGAATTTCTTATAAGTCAATTGTTTCATGTTAAGAAACAGGAATTCCGACTATTAGTTTTCTTTTTCCGCTTAGCTGATAATCTACACAAAAACACAGACGTGTATATCCTTTCAGAGCACCTGAGATCACCTTTGTTTTTGGCGAGGTTCGTGTTGCTCATTTTTCTATGTTATGTTTAGTAGACTGTTGCTTAACGTTTGGTAGTTTTTGATTTTTGCAAAGAAATTGTCAGTTTGTTTTTGACTTATGAGTATCCTTTAGGCGTCAGTCGCCTCTTTCCATAATCGTTAAATTATTTATCAAAACATTTGTTTCTGGTATTTTTTAATTGTTATTATTATTTTATGCAAATCCCCTTTTCTGCTTTTTTCTATTTGTCCTTGTAACACATTAGCAGATTTAAATATTTTACATGATCCTATTGACATTTTTCTCTTATTTATAACTCCCCCTTTTCTTTCTTAGTTTACCTTTTAATTCCTTTATTTCTTGTGACAGAACTTCTTGTACCTGACTAACATGGTGACTCGTATGTTGTTTGATATCTTCAGAGTTCTGTTGAGACAATTGTGTTAATTTATCTTCCATATTAGTCAGCGTGTTGCTGTTGTTCGGTATTCTACTGTTTTCCTGCAGCACCTAGTAATAAAAAAGTACTAAATATATTGAGTGAATGGTCTAATTATGTGTTTGACGTTAAAAAATGATTAAATAGATTGATGAATTTCACAATGAAACTACCAGGCTAAAATGTATCCACTCTGTTTGTTCACCTTCGAATTTGCAACAGTGACAATTTAATCTTGTATCTATTTAATTTGAAAATATTGGATATTTGAAAAGCAATGCTGTGCTGTAACACCACTGTCCTAGGTTGGCGGGGAGTTATTATGATCTCACACATATTTAACCCGCCACATTATATATGTGCCTGTCGGTCGTCAGTAGCCTCTGTTATTCACAGATTGTCGTTGGTTGCTCACTGTCATATTTGTTTTTCATTTATTGTTATGTAATACACCAGATTGTGGATTTGTTTGGTTTTTATTTATTATATAAGAGCCCCTGATAAGTCTTATGTAGACATAACGCGCGTCTGGCTTACTCAAGAATTAAAAAGCCTGGCATCTTTGATCAGTAATGTTTTTGTACAAAACAGTACTCGAATCAAATATTTTTTCTCAAATTCAAACCAAATTTTCTGTTAAATGCATGTCAAATCTTTATTTTGGTTGATTAAATAGCTATCTAAATTGATAGTTGCATTTGATTAAGTAATATTTAACTTACTGCATTAATTTCATCTATTTTACTTGAAAGTAACGCAATTTCTTCTTTTTCAACTTCACATTGTTTTAAAGACTGTATTTGCGATTGTATTATGGGCCTCATAAATGGATTTGTCAAAGAAGAAACCGCAAATTCTGTCCATATATCATTTAACTGCGTCATTGAAAAGCATTTCGTTGACCAAGCATGGCATATTGAATTCCGTTTGTTGTTAATCGTTTCTATTGCTACCTTTTCTGTTGCAGTTAATGTTCCCGAGCACAGTAAAATGAAACACAATATAGTTATGTCCAGAATATCTAAACGTATGTTTCGTGTCACATATTTATGGAGGCATCTTTGCTGCGTTGTTTGCCCTTTTTTTAAAACGTGGTTACGATGTTCATGACCAGTGTCATCATAAAAAGTATTGAAGATCCAATTTTCTATTTTTTTCGATCTACGAATAGTACATCCAGCAGACGGACAAGCACAACATGCGGTTTTTTTGGGTTCCCATTGGTGGTAGAAAAAATGTTTCTCATCTTCAAGATACTTATGAAAACTCCCTCCATATTGTGGTAAAAGTTTGGTGTCAACAAAAGCACAAACCACTTGTGTTGCAATATCAGTTGAGCATTTGAAAAGCTTCATCAGTTCTTTACTCTCAGGACTATTCATTGTTATTCTTTAACCTGCAAACATTAAAAAAAATCATGTATAGTATCATTTTTATTATTTTGTCAGAACACCTTTTTGTAAATGTTTCTTTAAATCCAACATTATTTTCTATTTCGCAGTTACATTAATAATGCACTTCTGACAATCACATTATTACAAAAATACAATGAACGCTTAATAAAAATTTGATCATGGTTCTGATATAAGTTGCTGACTCCTTAGAAGACAAATCAAGGTAACACACAAAAAATGAAGAAATCGCATGAACTCCAAAAGGAGGGAGACCGGCAGCGTCAACTAATCAAGCTTGTCCTGTCATGCATGAATCACCGGCCATGCGAATCGACACTTAGTCAAAACATAACAATCGTGAATAAGCACAATCGTTAAATTTACAGATTAGACGAGTATTCTTGTATCTAAAGATCATAGAATGCGAAAACATGTCGGTTGTCAGTTGAAACACAGATATATCGCATCGGTCCCCGGCATTGTCAATTTTCTTCGATTTAATCCAGATTTCTTCTAAGACGTTCAGGGAGTTATTCCAAATATTAAAATTCATCATTTTGGCGGGAGACTGGAACGTAGTTTGAAGTTTTTAAAAATGACACAATAAATTACAGATAAAAGAGTGATATTAAAGCGTACACAAAATTAATAGAAATATCTATTAAGATGCTAGTTACTTTTTTTACCATATTCCTGTTTCTCTATATGTAATTTTTGACCAGGAAATGAGGACGTGCCAATAAAAATTCAATTAAAGTTTACTATATGACAATGATTTCAAGCTGAAATTCAAAAGTGTATACCTTTAAAATCTTATGTAAAAACCAGAAAAACATACAATATGATACGCTAACGAGGTTTTCCAAACGTAAAAACGGCTAGAATTCTTCTGTCCACTCCTATCTTTAAATAGATTGGAACCAAATGTGACTTCGGTTCAAACTTATGCAATATTAATACCTAAGACGGCCACCTCCATGACTCATTCCCGGTCAAATAGCTTGTCGTCACGAAATCAAAAACTGTGAAAAGTAGATTAAACATTACTTGTGATAGTTTATAGTTTTTGAAAAAAAATCAAAAAATCATAGCCATATTTTTCAAATCAATTTTGTCAATTTATCATTAAACAAACAAGACAAACCACAGAATAAATGGAAAGATAGATGCAGGTATGATATGTAGACCTGGGGTATTTAAACATGTAATTGTAAAAGAGTCCAGATTATATTTACCTGTTCATTTATCAATACAATTAACATAATTTGAAAGTCTTTAATATTTTAGTATTTTTGCATTTACTTCCTTTTGTAATTTGCCAGAATATACACAGAATTCAAAGCACAAATTACCTGCATATAAATATGAACTTAAAGAAACACACACATGTAGTTTTTCCATTGCAAACAAAATAGACAATAAAACATTTTTGAGGGGAATGTTATATTGTAAAAAAGTTTTGTTGGCTTCAGATTTAGATACAATCTATTATCTGATTGCAAATAAACCCATCATAGATACCAGGATTAAAATTTGTACGCCAGACGTGCGTTTCATCTAAAGGACGCTCGAATGAAAAAAGTAAAAAAGGTACAAGTATGTGATTCCAATAATATTTGAATAAATACACCTTTTGGTGATTTACCATTTTTCATTGTTCTCTTGCAATGGTTGAGAGAAACGTACAAAAAGGGTAAACTCTCAAATGGCCGAGTTGTAATATTTGTGACT